GTATTCACACACTATGAACTTAGGGTACTAATCTATGGCATTAGTTAGCTTTCACATCAAACATCCTCCAAATTCAATGCCACAATGAATTTCACTATGAAGATAGGTGAGGGAGACTAACAACACTAGCACAAATCTCTAGGAAACAAGATAGTAAATAAACCAAGTTAAGAAGAACAAATTGATAAGGGCAGTCGGGTCAAAAGCAGCAATCAATACTAAATGAAACTGTCACTTGTGTCTAACTAGCTTTGATTCAAAAGAGTTTTTAAGGCAAGAGGTCTAAGATCAGTGCATCTAAGCTTTACTGAGCTTTTTATTTGTTAGTTGGGTTACAGATTGCTTCAATATTCAAGAAAGCTGTCTTGGGAATTGTGCGGTGTCCTCGGTAACGTTTTGCCATCTTCTTGGCCTCAGCACCAGTTAATCCCAGCCTACATAGGTAGATTCCCAAGTCAGACACAGAAGATGTGTGAGAAGAGAAAAACAACTTACTGATACACAGAGTGCTGTCGATCAATTTTACGAAAGTATTTACGGATAGTTTCCAAAGGACAGGTTTTACGAACCTTCTCAAAAAGGTCTTGCGCAGTCTTGAAAGTTGTGCACTGGAGGGCGGATTGGCGAAATTCTGCAATAGATTTGATTTAGATCTTCAAACATCAAGACAGTGATAAACAATAGAACACTTACGATCTTTGATATAAGACCAAAAGAGCTCAATTGGATTTAGATCACAATGGAACTTTGGTAGGAATAAGCAGACATGACCCGCCTCTTCAATCACCATCTGGAGAAGAGGCTTTTCATTCATGAAATCTGACTGTAAGCTGAGGATCTTGTACCAACAACAATCACTTCTTTCAGGTTCCAATTCGGTTCCGACATCAACCACATTCTCAGAAACAAAAAACCCGCGAGCTTCAGCTTCTTGAATCTGGCCAACAGCTTGTCTCTTAGCATCTTGGCTGGCTCCCGATGCTTTACAGACAGAACACTTTGCATTAAGGGTAGGTCGTTTCAAAGAAGTCGCTCGTTTCTCGTAGTATTCCCATAGGCCACGTTCCTGCAGAACTACTTTCATGCCTTTAGCTTCACCGCGAAGCTTGGGATCGTGGTGATCGGGCGGGAATACCATGAGCTGTGTTTGACCTCGGAGCTCGTGAGGGATATGAGGATCATCAGTAGGGATGATGGTTGGTCGAAGGTGGCCTTGTTTCCCAGCAGAGGAGAGGCTCATGCTTTGTACACGTAATGCATTTTGCCCGTATTCTTCATGAGCCGAAGAGCAGTCGAAGACAAAGACAACCTCACAATTTGGATGCATTGCTTCAAAGATCGGTAGAGTACGAGTCTGCATTTGGGCTATTAACTGCTTCATATTCCACCAGGGATCACCTTTGCTTCCCGGATGTATAACTACAGCTGCATCACTAACACTCGGTAGGACTGGTTGATGACCTTCGGATCTCAAACTATCCACACAATCCTGTGTTATAACGAGCCGACCTGTAGTCTCACAAATGAAGTCTGAGATGTGAATGAGCCGACCTGAGTCTTTAGATCGAAATTCAGTTGTTCCAGGCATGAGCCACGACAGTCAAGGACGCTCTTTAGCATGTACAGTGGACTCGTCGTGATAAACAAAAACGGTCTCGCGTTTGTCTCCAAGGATCTCAGGGTCAATCGAAACAGATTGTTCAAGATGCTCGCCAACATAGACTCGGGATCTCTTACGAAGTTCAGCAACCTTGGCTAAGAACCGAGTTCAATATTCAACAACATCCGGTCGTTCGTGGCCATCGAAATACAACGATTTGCGATACTCCTGAGGGCAAAACCCAAGGCGATGCATCCAGCGATAGCTTGTGACTAGAGAAATCGATTGGCCTGGATGAGAAACTGGTAGAGCTACATTGTTGATGTAGTCCCAGAAACGTCGTGGAGTAACCTGGGCGAAAAAACCGTAAAGGAAGCGATCAAAGTTTGATTGATCGAGCTATTCTTTAACAGTTTGTACAATAATGAAAACCAACTGACCTCGCCAGGCTTCTTTGAAGAAGACCAGGTAATTATTGCAGCAGAAAGCTTGGGGTCATCCAACATTGAAGGATGTTTGGACCCAAATCCTGACTGAGAAAAGATCAAACTTCCAAACGTGTCCAGGTGTTTAGCTTGGGCTCGAGTCTTTCTTGCTCTTCCCACACCCGAGGTAAATTTCCTTCAATTGTTGGGAATTCGACGCAAAGAAGCTTGTGCTGTAAGTATTGAAGCTTGAATGGCCGGTGATTTTGCTTTTGCCAATGAGAGCTCCTTGCGACGGTAATTGAACTCCCTGAGCTCATCCAATACTAGATTAGAGACATCGTGCTTGGGGTTAGCTTTGTGTGCAGCCTCGTATTTGATTTTAGCTCTTTTTATCTTGAGGTCAAGTAAAGTCCACTCGTCATCAATTTCTTTCAAACGTTTCTCTTCTAACAGCTTCTCTGAAGCTTCCTTTTCCTCTTGAGTAACTTGAACTTTCTGTACTGATAAAGCTATCCACTCTTCATATTCTGCATCGACTTGATGGACTGTATTTGCGGTTTTGAGCTCGTCTGATAAGTCTTCAGTATGATTGGATTCATTATCTAAATCAGTGCTACATTGATCTGATTCAATATCTATTGTAATGTCAGAATTTGGTGTTGTATGTTCATCGGGTGACACCACTGATCTTCCAGCAACATCAGTCGGAGGTTGAGGCTTGGCCCAATTGTCCATAAAGCCGGTGTTTTTACCGACCGCTGCCTGAGCTTTCTTTCGGCGATTATGGGAGGTTTGTTTGGGAACTGGTTTTGAGATTAGCCGCTTGTTGAGGTGATTTGGGTGAGGGATTGGCTTTTTATAGTTTTTTAAGTTTCCAAAGTGGTTCTTGCGCTTTCCAACGGCTGGTCCGCCTGAGTCGCGAGTGAGGAAGACTGGAAATAGTTTTTGATTAAGGTCATCACCACATTTATTTTCATCCTCAGAGTCCGCTATTTGATTTTTGATAAATGAGATAATTTCATTGTCAATTCTAATTCTTTCAGCTTCATTTGCTCGTCGTGATTGTTGAGCTTTTTTCGTTTGGAAATAGCCATTAATTAAAGATCTCAGATGATGATATTCTTCAGTGCTATAAGATAATTGAAAGTCTTGATGCGGAGCAAGGTTTGTCAGACTGTCTGCACCGTGAATTTTTTCCTCTGTGCCTGTTCAAATCAACATAGAGTATGTTTAAACTTAAATGTGTGTTTTCTACGTGTATTTTTTCTCAGAAATATCAAATTTTACTTGTTCTGACCCATCTCAGCAAACTAACCCCTAACCTAGCAGCTAAATTTTTGGTTTTTCCAAATCCCTAACATTTGGGACCGGTCCCAGACCCGGGGCCGGGGGATGCAAGTGGTAGCACAAAGTAGCCTTTAGCTACTGTATGTAGAAAAGGGGCAGTTGAGGACCTTGATGCCCGCTTTCGACTGCGGCTGCGGTCAAGTTTGGCTGACGCGGGGCCCGGGCGTGCCGAAATAATACGGATATAGCCCCGTGAAAAGCGGGCGTCGAGTATTACCCGGGGGGGCGCCAAATAGTGCTGTCCATTGTTAATTTCTTACCAAAAAGGATTCAAAAACTTCATCAAAAGGTACGATCTAGAGCTCCAGACCATTTTAATTCGTCATCATTCCTCATCCATCACCATCATCATCATCATCGTCATCTAGACTTTATCAATCTTACCAATTCTCATCAAACTTAATCCCAATTTAATTTACTTCTTCATCACTTCTAATCTTCGCCTAATCAACTATCCTTCAGATCTCCATTAGTTTGATCTAATTCTTGAGAAAGTGAGGAATCACGATGATATGGTACCCAGGTGGACTCTCCTCCAAATTCTTTGAGTAGGTAACGTTTGTCGATATGCATCAGCAAGTCTTGACTAGACTTGGAAAAGACGATCTTCGAGCGTACAACAGCTATGTCGATCAAAGATAACGAAATGCGTAAAGTTGATTGAAGGATTCGATAAATTGTTCTATAAAGTTGTTTAATGAGTTTAAGCCTTCGGAAGACGATTTGAAAAAAGGAAGTATTCAAGACTCTTTTACTTGGGGATTGTAAGTAACAATCTCTTTAATTCAAAGTTGATTTTCCATTCAAGAAACTCAATAGTGTTTTTTTTTCATCAAGTGATAATGAGTTTGGTCAACATCCTTTCAATGCACCAGTGTAATGGATATAGTCATGCTTCATTTGACGTGATTTTTCCTCTTGAAATGCACTTTTTTCTGTCTCGTTATTTTGCACTTATACTTTTTTTCTGAAGTTTCTAGCATATCTGTAACAGTAGTTCTTGAATTTGTAACAATGCCTAAGATCCTTTCAATACCCCAGTATAACTAAACATACTGAAGTACAATCTTCCATTTATCTTCTTGATCACTTTTTTCTGTCTGAAATTGTAGTTTGTATTATTATTTTGAAGTTGTATTTTTTTCAAGATTCCTCTCGTATTTGTAACATTAGCATATTCTTTGCAAAAACAATGATATCTGACAAAGTTAAATAACTAAACCCGTGAACATACATTGATCCACTTTTTCACTTCATCGAGCGGTCCTATTGAAGTGAGTCATTTCAAGCGTTAATGAAGAAACCGGGCCAACTTTGAGAACCCCTATTAGCATATTCTTTGCAAAAACAATGATATCTGACAAAGTTAAATAACTAAACCCGTGAACATACATTGATCCACTTTTTCACTTCATCGAGCGGTCCTATTGAAGTGAGTCATTTCAAGCGTTAATGAAGTAAAACAAGGCTGTGCTCTCAAAGCCGAGATCTCTAATTGTACAATACCAACTCAAGTTCACTACCTTGAATTCTAAAAAACATTCAAACCAAATTCATTTCATTTTAAAACAAATCATTGATAATACAAACCTCTCAAAACCTTTGTATCTCCGCTCCTCAAAACCTTAAATCCCACGTTCAACAAAACTTTCAATAACTCCTTCACAACTACTAGTATACTCTTTCAATTCTACTTGCTCTCCCTTGACAAAGGTATTAGGTTGAACAAAGATCTTTCTTGGTTGTTTTTTCTTTAAAACTAATTCTCTTAATTCTTTGCACCAAAACTCATTTGGTGGTTTAGTGAGATCATTATAAAATTCTATAGGCAAAACCGAAAAAAATGTTAGATTTTATAAAGGTTAAAGGGATTTGAAATGGTTGCTTACCTGATGCTCCTTTTCCATCTGCTGTTGATTTTCTAATTTGAATCTCATTCAAAAGTCTATAAACAATCAATCATTTTCTCAATCAGATGTTTATCGAAAAAAATCATATTGAAAAATAAAATAAAACTTACTTTCCAATCACATCTTTTCCAATACTCAAAACCTTCTCACGATTAACATGGACAAAAGCATCAACTAAAGCTCCAGTGGAATCTCGAATTTCTTCAAGTGTTGCAATCTCATGTTTGAACAACCAACAAGTAATTCCCATCTAGAAAACCCAATCATACAAATCAACATCCCGTTTCCAGTTTTTTCTCTCTCTGGAGGTTTCAACTTACTCTGGCTTGCATATGCGCTTGACCGTGTTTTCCAGTTTGAGGATCATACCATTCTAATGCTCTTATACCCGCTCTAGCCATCTAATTTAATCAATCAATTCATCAGTGACCTTTGCATATCAAAGTCACCCTAGGTTAAAACAGGTTACTCAACTAGTAAGAATGTCATGTACTGAATAGTTTCAATATCTTCCTTACTCTCATACCCAAAAATCTAACCCCAAAAAAACAAAAATCAGGATCTTAGAATGGATGCATATAGACAGAAGGCAGAAATGTATACCTTTAATATCTCAAGGTTAGAGCAAAGATAGAGCGCAACCGCTTCAGCTCTACATTCTTCCATTGAACTTGCAACTAGACCAAACTTTGATCCATAGGTTTCACCAGGTTTGTACCATGAGGTTACAGGTTTTCCAGTTCTATTCAAAACAGCAAACCAAATGAATTACTAGGTGATTTTGGAATGAAATTTGAAAGAAGCTTACAAAGGATTGACAGTTGTTTTCGGATCAAAACTATTGCGAAAAATAATCGGTGAGTCATCAATCTTTTCAAATAATTCAAGAGAAAAGTTTAAACCAACTTAAAAGTTCCATCGGCATTTTCTTGTAATTGTTTTCCACTACCATGACCTAGTAACTCATGATTAGCCACTTGTAAATCAAATGTTTTACTATCCCATTTTTCATATAATTCTCTTTCATTCGGATGTATAAATGTGATTTCTTCATTTGGTGCTTTTGCAGATAAAATATTAGCTCTATTGTAATAAAAAATCATTTTAGGTATGAGTAAGATGGGTTTTGAACGGATAAGAGTTTGAGAGACTTACAATGAAACGTTTTTGAAACCTACTGATTCTCGAATATCAAAATAACTAATAAAAGAATCATGATTTGTCCGGTAAGCAAGATTCATTCAAACGCAAGCAAAATCTTACAACAGCTTCATGATCCAAACTTGATCTTGGTAAAAAAAACACTCACTTTGGAATATTAATTCCAGCAGGAATTCCACCAGTAGCAAAACTTAAAACTTCTAAAGCAGTAAAATCAGGTCTTCTAAACACATCCACTTCAAATTGGACACCCCAAGGTAAAGTTTTAACTAATCCGTCAGCTTGATCTACCAACTTTTCAAATTTAGAAGATAACTCTTTATTGACTATAGCTGTGAAACCTTCCCATTCAGCTCTTTGTGCAAATGGATCTACATAAGCTTCTATATGTCCTAAATACGTTTCGACTACTGGTCCCACATCTTTCACCCATGATTTTGAGGCTTCTTTATGCGAGTTCATGTTTCCTGTTTTGAAACATTCTATATAATCATTGATCATCGTTTCTCGTAAAGGTGTACCACAGTATTTTTTAGCTTCTTGGAGTGCTTCACAGACTTTACTCATTGGGACTGAGAAATCGGCGGCTTGGAGATGGACTGTGGGCGATTTTTGGCCGGGTTTGGAGGGGAGAGGAGAGCTTGGGAAAGATGAATCTAATGAGTTTGATGAAGAAGCGATTAAAAGAGTAAACTCGTTTGCAGGACGCTTGATAAGGCTGGTTTGGAGGGGTAAAGTTGGAAATGAAGTACGAGTCGAGTTCAGTGAATCAGTTATGAGAGAATCTGATGAGAAAGACTAAGAGCTTACCGGGTGTTAAGAGTACTAAGATGATGAAAGTCACAAAGAGCTTGAACTTCATTAATTTCTTCATCGGTGATATCTTGACTATCAGGATAATAATTAGATAAATGACCAGCAGAAGGTTTTCCAATATCTAAATGACCAATTGGCTCAAGACTATAAACAGTGTCAGATATCTAATACAGATCATTTAATTGCACGCGTCATTAGTAATCTTCATTTTTGTAATCGAACTTGAATCAGATTTTACAAACCTTTTTCCAAAGATCTTTAGCTGCCCCAGATCGTTCAGAAGCTGAGACTAATGCTTCGAATGCAGAAGGTTCACAACGTGGAATAAACTTGGTAGCACCAAATGATTTATAATTGCAAAGGTTCGAAAGGGTCTGTGTTTGGTTCAAGAATCAAAAAAGATAACCATCAATATCTCAATTCGAGTGTATCAATGCTTTTAGATCACTTACTTGTGCACAATAATCTAAGAGATAATTCCATTGTTCATCATTTAACTTTGTACGGAGTTTAAGATCTTTGAAAGAAGTTGGTTTTTGAGGATCATTAGCGGTAGAAAAAGCCGTCACGATGAAATCATAAATATCTTCAGCAAAAGGTGTCCATTGGTTCTGATAATCAAACAAAAATGAAACGGAAAACATTTGTCAATCAATACTGCTCAACTTTTTTTCCTTTTCAAAGACAAGTTGTATAAAAGTTTAAAACTTACCATGATGATTCTACCACCTGACCAACTAGCTTGACTCATCCAATGAGCATAAAGTTTTTCTTGTGAAGTTAATTTAGTAAAACTTGAAGAAATGTTCAAAGAACATATCGGAGGATTTAAATCAGCCAAGTAACGAGCTTTTTGAGAAGCTGATTGTGCCATTGTTCTTGTAGTTGATTTGATGAATGGTAGTTTGAATGGTTTTGATTTGAAGGTTGATCGAAATAGTAAAGTGAGAGTCATCAAGCTAAACTAAATGATCTGATCGGTTTATACCTTACCGTGTCCGTCGGTCCCTCACCCAAACTATAAACTCAAACTTTGAACTGTCACTGTCACTCGGATAAACTCGGATATACAATACGGTCCCGGATCATCAATCGTTCGTTCTTCACAGTTCACTTCTTTAAGAGCACCATCACTCGCCATCGTGTTGGTCGTGTACCAAGTACATAAGCAAGTTTAGCAAGTTGCTCTCACGATGTTAAATATGTTGATTCCAAATATCAGGTTTTCGAAAACCAATCCACTTTCAGCCTTTGGGGTCGAAAATCTTTACCTCACTTCAGCGCAACTTTACTACATGACTTATAATATATGGAGCTATTAATCCTTCTTTCAGAAAAAACAATACAAGATGACTGACTTTTCGGAACTCACTTTAGGATATTGGGGTTGCACAGAGCGGAATTAAAGTCCTCTCAAGGATCTCAAAAGGCCTGATAGGGCCTGATAAACCATGACTAAGTAAGTGCTTTGAGATTCGAATTGAAAGTACGTGCAAAGACAGAGAATGTGTCTATATGTACTGATTTTGACAATGTGACTCTTTCAGTACTATCCGTGAGGCGAGTCTTAAGTCGCAGATATCAGACTAATTTCATGACTGCTGAGAGTGCAAGTAGTGATGGATTGGAATGCTCAACCGTGGTCAGTTTGTGAAGAAATGGGCGCTGATGGGCGAATTGGATGTGTACCGCACAACAGCATCAGAAGCCAGGGCCGGGCCAGGATCTAGTTCCATACCAGAATCAGGAGAGCGCATACATCCAACAAGCGAAACCAATTTCTCGAAAACTCGAACCTCAACTGCGATCGATCGTTAGATTCTCTGGCTCGTATATGCAATTCTGGCATTCTCGATTTGGATGAACCTTTTGGATAGAATGTTTATATCAGTCTTAAATTAGATGTATGTAAAAGGTTAGTCATGAAATCTACTAAGCGCGATATTTTAGGTACGATTTACGCTGAGTTCTGGTTTTGATTTGATACTTGCAAGGTACATGAAGTGTGATAGATGAGGATGATTCAAACAGCTTTAGACGAGTCGCTCTATGGACACCGCGTGCTCCCCTGACAGTGAAATGAATGTCTATGCTTGCGCTAGCACAATTATACTCGGTCAGACAAGCTGGGTGAGAGGATGTGTGGTTTCACCTTGATAGGGTCTGGTCAAAAACCAATTGAAATGGTCTTGACATGGACTCTCAACCGTCGATTCTGATCACAGCCCTGGTCAGCTAAGAGAATGCCAAACATCAGAGTAAGATGAGTTGAAACGGATGAAGTTGCGATGGCGAATTACTATCTACATCCGTATGTCACTGGCTTTATAATCCCTTGCTTTTACTTGTACTGATGTTTTTAACATCTTCTCCAAGTTCAATAGAGATCTGAACAAGAACCATGATCGTACGAAAGACTTCTCAATTGTAGAATGTCATCTATCTCTACAAAGGAGGGAAAGTGAAAGGTTCGATAACAAGATGCATTAAATGTACATAGACAAGTCCCTTGCACTTTATCTCTATACCTATGTGCAAAACTTCAATTGTTTGGTAGTGTAGCATTTCCTATATCACATTCAAAGAAGGTGCTTGGATTTTTTTGATTTTTTTGAATATTATATGCTGTAGTCTACAGATCCTTACCATTGTAGTCACAAGTCACATCATGTTATGGGCAAAACGATTATCTTCATCGTCATCTTTGAAATGCACTCTCATTGGATCACTTTGATTGATATCCCAAAAAACGTATCCAGACATAAGTCCACCTCATATCTCACATCAAATGATCCACCAGATATTGATTATTATAACATTTTACAAAATTGAGCGTGATCCTAGTGAATGTAGCCAAAGTAATACTAAATTTCCCCACACTTCAAAAAAATCACTAAAAACCACCAACAGAACTTCAAATGAAAGACTTGGAACTATTATGAAAACATTCCCGACCGTCGAGGCAGAGCGGACTCATCACCTACAGATGCAATACTAAATGTCAGTCCAAGAAAAAAGAGAAGGGAAATCAGGGGGTTCAGGAAGGATATGACATACCATGATCAGATTCGATGGAGTTCTTCAAACTTCACAAGTTAGAAAAGGACGAGGAGGACCGGGAAGACCACAGCTTGAGGGACCTTCACCTAAAAGCGATCATCAAATCGGGAAAATATTGTTAGAATCGATGAAAGAAGAAGTACGAAGAACGATAGCAAAGAACGATAGGAGAAGATCACATACCAAGGTCGATCTCGACGAATTCAGATGGAAGGGGCGTCAAAGATCCTCTAGCAGGAGCAGGAAGGATAGCATCGACCGGTTTCGGAGGAATAGGACCCATTTCAATATCTTCTTTGGTCTTGATGAAAGGCTTCTTGGGAGGAAGATCAAAGTATGAATAAAGAGTTTGAGCGAATAGAACAGCTCAAGAAATGATGATGGGTAAGTTTCGAGCGATAAGTTTTAAAACAAATTTCTCTGGAACCTCGGGTGGGAAAATTTTGGTAGTGAAGGATATTCTGTTCACTTTTTTTGTAGAAACACTGTCAATGAATTTGAGCCGTAGAGACACGCCGGACCGTTTTCTTTGGTCGCAGCTTGCCGGCCAGTATTGACTGAGATCAAGCGTTCAAAGTCAAGAAGCCTCCTGCATGATATCAAAATTGATGACTTTGAGGAAACGCTGACATTATGTTGTAAAGTGAGTCATCATTGACGCCGTCTAAGAATTTCTAATCCACCCCTGGCAAAGAATTCGACAGGCAAGCTTTTGACTCCCTTTTGAATGTTCCCTTCAAAGATTCAGATCTGATCAATTCATAAGGATGATACGGAAAAGACTGATTGAATTTGTTTAGTATGTTTGGTTGGAAAGACCGATGAAGCCATTCCATCATGAAGACATTTCTTTTTGAAATTCATAGAGATTCCATTCTATAAATTTATACCTCATTGTCTGCATCATCAACTTCTCCCTCACTCTGCTGGACTTGCTTTGCTGTCTTCTACTCTTTTATCATGTCCATTATTTGAATGCACACGTTCGTATTTCTCTTGCTTTGCTTCATTCTACTCTTTTATCATGCCCATTGTTTGAATGCTCGTATTCATATTGATGCTTGCATTCATATTTATGGAGCTGGTTCAGATTTCAAAAACCACCGATTGGCAGGATTCAAAATCGTCTTGTGAAGCTCACGTGGAACAAAGGAACAAACACCATATTACAGATGTCATTTCCAATATTTTTGAGGAATTTATATAACAACCCATGCTCCTCCTGACCCAACAGATCTTTGTTGCCCCAGCAAAGCTTTGCATCTCAATCAAGTGATCACTCATATGTGTATTGATTGTGTTTATAACGGTAAAAAGGTGAAATACAAAAGGTCTTATTAATTTACATTTTAGTAGCAGTATGGGTGTTTCAATGATGATTGAAAGAGACCAAGTGAAAAAACAAAACAAGAGAAAAAGATTTGAAAGAGAACAAAAGATCAATGATCATAAAGGAGTGCTTTCAAGATGACAACCGTGGTATCAATTCAACAGTATCGAGATATTGTAAAGAAGTACGATCTCGAAGATAAACATCTTGGGCTTTAATTTCAATCACCTTACCATTGGCTAGCGTCATCTTACCATAGTTATATTTCACCTTATGATCATCCCTGCGCGGCCAATCCCACTCGGCATCTAGTAAACCAAACTTGTGGGAAACAAATTCACTGACGGTCTTCAGTTTCTCATCAAGTAAAACAAAGCCTTCTTCTTCGTCGGATTCGGAGTCTGAATAATCGCGCTTGTCGGGAGCATCAACTCCAAGGGTCTGAAGACTTGCCCAAGCGGAACCGGGCTGTTCGATTTGTTCTTTGATGCGAGAAAGTACGTCGGTTTCGTTTGCGTGGATATCAAAGTGTTTCAGTTTCGGAGCTTGAGACATAACATCGATCAGTCTTGTCTCTTCATGCATTCCTAGGTATGCTCGCACCGAGAGATCCTCTAAGACCACAAATTCTTTACCGAACTCAATCTTGGGTTGTGGGATTTCATGGGGTTGACTGATCTCAGGACCAAGCAGTAGGCCCAAGAGCGTTTTACGGAAAGCCTTCGCCACAGAAAAAATAGCCTCGCCATAAAGTCTAGGACACTCAGTCACCTTGAGATACTCTAGAGGGCACTTCCAATCTAATCCACCCCATCCTTGACGTGGTGCAATGAGACCTTGCAAGTGTAATCTTTTGAGCTTGGTCAATGAACTGAGGGATTCACCCATCAATTTGCCAATTTCTTCTTCGTAAGAGAGTTTACACCGACACTCATCAATCCATCGGTATACGTCCGTCTCTTCACGAGAAATCACAAGGACCTCAAGATTGGGTAAACTTGCGAGCGTCTTAGACACCATCTCCTCAAAGGTTGACTGGGTATCGCGTGAAATGTATTGAAAAGTGACCAGATTGGTAAAGGTAGAAACGATTTGAAGAAGGTTTTTTGAGGAAGTCGAGTAAACCTGCTTTGGATCATAGATATCAAAGGAGTAAGATCTTCCAGTATAACTTCTTCCTAATTCCCAACGCAAGTTGGTGATCGATTGAGGATCGACGGTTTGAAAGAGTTCTTCAACTTTCTTAAGAAGATTCTTAGTCTTTTCCGTCCGTGAAACCGATTTGTGCTCTGGGTACGAAGCAGTCTCAAAGCTAAAGTTTATGGCACGGGTATTGTCTTTGATGAGTTGACGATGACCTAGTATTCCTTGAAAGTCCTTGATTGCCGAATCGAGACTTTTATCATCATCAGCTTCAATGCCTACCAACAATTGAAGTTTCTGAGAGATAGAGCCACAGGTCGAAAAAGAAACAAAACAGATCATTAAGACTGGATAATGCAGCATATATGAGATAAAAAACAAATAGTCTCACCTGGTAACACAAAGACTTGAGTTCCTCAAGTTCCTCCTTGCTAGACTTTTTGCTTTGGAGTTCTTGGACCAAATCATCTACATTCAATGTAACAGAAAGGTGAGAAGAATTAAGTCGACGATTCGGAAGTTCAAGTAAATCTTTAAAAAATTCCTCACACTGATGTTTTCGGTCGCTTGGACCGCGTCCGCCAAATACACTTACTACCTCTGTATTGGAGGATATCAATTTATCCTTCAGAGACTCTGGCTTCGGTGCGTTGGCGGAAGTCATAGTTCTTCTTTCTATGAAATTGATTGGTTAATGAGATAAGATCTTGCGAGGAAAGTTATAGGAAATTTTTCAAGTGAGATGTATAAAGGATATTTGATATTGAATGACAAAAGTAAGACGGTGAGTGATGGATGGTAAAGGTGAAGCAGATGTGACAAATGAGTACGAAGTCCAACACTGAATGATGGATATTCATGGTGGAAAGCAGACATCGATGACTTGATTCTAAGAAAGTGCTTTTCACTGGAGAGTTTTGATGATTACCAAATTCGGAATGATACATGCCATTGCAAGATTTGTATATACATATCTTGGAGCGCTTTGAAGTCATCGTGTCATTGAATGAATATGATGAGTTATCTTTTGTTAGTTTTGGAAGAATTGGCAAATCCGATCAACTTGATATCGATCTTGGATCGTATTGCTTTTTCGGTGCAAGTCAAATCTTTAGCTTGCTATCAACTTTTTAGCATATCCTTCTTCATCTCAAACTCCCATAAAATCCAGAACCGTTCTTGCATGTTAATTCTTCAAAGTCACTTTCATTCAATGGCAATGGCAAGAATCGGGATTACCATATAAGGTTATCCCTTGATGCTTTCGATCCAACAAGGAAGACACTTCCCAATTCATGCTCACCGGAGCGACGATCAACTTATGTTGGCCAGGCTACACAAGCTCCGCCATACGCGAAACCCTCAGCAGTGAGCACGCTTTACCCTTCTAGCCTCTCGAGTCTCGAGGTCTTACGGGCGATAGCAGAACTTTTACAGCGCTTCCGTGAATCTTTGGTTTTTTTCAGATAATTTTCACATTTCACGGACCAATACCTGTATGTCCAAAACATCAACAAAACCTTTTTGCCAAATCAAGGTTTTGACATATAGAGTGAGAGAGTGTCATATGTTGTGACATGTCTCTCTGGAGATCCATACGTTCCCATGTCGGTGTCAGCAAGCACGAGATACGAAGGGCATCATGGAACCTTCCATGCAACGGAAGATTTCGTTCTCTATTCCCCTTTGTCCAACCCCAACCACCCAGCACTGTTACCCTTCCATACATCCTCTTCTTTGTCAAATCAACATCTTTTCAGTTCGTCTCCAGTCAGGTTTGGTTTTTCAAACTCTCTTTCCTATCCGACTCATCTACTCATTCTGACTCATGGTGTTGGACGATTCCAGCACAATGCCTGTTACCCTTTATAGTGCTGATATCAAAATGGTCGTGGTTCGTATGGTCTTACGCGGGATGCGATTTCATGAGATCGTGAAGACTCTTGGAGTCGACGTGTCTTTGACATCTGTTCAACGATGGTATCAATTGTATCGTACCACTCACGCTGTGGTCACCAACCCTCTCAACCACATGGACCGCGGGGCGCCAACCTCTTTGGGCCAGCCGGAACGTGAATTTGTCTTGGAATGTCTTCGAGCAGATCCTACCCTGTACCTCGACGAGCTTCAAGCAAAAATACTCGAAACCCACGGTGTCGAAGTGTGTTTGCAAACACTTTCAATCGAACTCACGGACCGCCTTTGTTGGTCGCAAAAAAAGGCTCGGACGGTGCATCCAAACCAATCTGCGGTGGCACGAGGAGCGTATATTCAACTAATCCAGCAGATAGACCCTCAATGTCTGGTTTTCACAGGTTGGTCTGTTTGGTTTTCGGCCATTTGTTCAAGGTCTGTACTAACTTGTAGCTTGATTGAACAGATGAAACTGCCCTAACCAAGCGTCGACTCTACCGGGATTTTGCTCGTGCTCCCATTGGCGAACGCACCGCGAGGCTTCAACGTCCCACTCAAGCATTCCGCTGGTCAGTTTTACCAGCCATTTCAATGGATGGAATACTGGCCGTGAATATCCAGCCAGGTGGGTACTCACGGGTTGATTTTGAAGCCTACTTGGAACATCATTTGGTGGGTGTTTTGAACGTATTGATACAGTATAGCAGATTAGACGTACTAACAAATTCACTTGCAGTTACCCGCAATGAACCCTTGGCCTCAGCGAAATAGTGTGCTCGTGATGGACAACGCACCCATCCATCATGGTGGCGTTGTCGCTGAGCTTTGTGCCGCACGAGGAGTACAACTCGTGTACCTGCCACCTTATAGCCCCGATTTAAACCCAATCGAGAAAGGTTTCTCACCCCTCAAGGCAAGATTGTGGCGTACACAAGCCCTCCAAAATTGTCTTAATGGGGACGAAGAGCAGGCTATGATCTTCGTGGCCTGCATGGATTTATTCACAGCTGAACTTTGTCAGTCTCTTTTTCGAGGGGCTAGCTATTTATAAACTACTATAGTTCTCTTCTCTCTCCTTTCCCAAGTGCTTTTTGGATCAATCCTCTTCTTTGGCTGGGTAATTACACAATTTAGGATGCTTTTAGTAGATCGAATAAAACTTTCGGTGGGAATTGTTTATTTTATTTTTCATGGTTAATCAGTTTTACGGTTCCAGCTATGAAGTGAAGTACCTTGGTGGATAGATGTGTTTTTGTTGTTCTTTCTACAATTACGATTGAACTTCATTCTAGTTTTGCTAGTGTTTGACCTACCATTGTGGGTAGATGGTTTTCAGTTGTTTTTTTCGCTTCAAAGCAATTGATCAATTATGTTTTTGTGATGTTTAATTGCACTTGAATTGGTTCGATTGGCTTTTTAAGTTGATAACTCGCCATCCCATCTTCTCCAATGAAAACACTAACAACTGACAACTAATTTTTTGGGGTTTTGAGCAAAACCAAAATAAAATTTCACTGTAATCTAAAGTATTAATTAAACAAATGAAATGACTAATCGGATCGAAGAGAAATCTAATCCACATTATCATGTAGATTGTTATGAACTGGTTCTATTTCACTTGAGTGACATATTCACATTACATGTCACAAGCTCGAGAACCATCTTATAGTTGTAGATACATTGCCTGTACAGCTTTTCCCTCATCCGACAATCCACATAGGAAGACTGGTAATAGATACAAATCCTCACCAGAACTCCCTTGACCCTTGTCGCCGAAAACCCCCAAGTCTGTCCATAACATATTGTCGGATCTATAGACGAGACTCAAGGACTATAGATAGATCACCAAGAAGAAACAAGTAGAATTGACTTAAATCGAAAGAAAACCGAACCTCAAGATTCAGAATACTAGCGAATCTCGACCTCATTAGAAAACCTTATCTAGATCTCAGAAATTCAAAGTTGAAAAGACCCAAGAAACTATTCGAAATCGAAAACCTTATTAACTGATCTGCATACGCTGAAACCGAATCCACCAGAACCTTATCTTACTTACTAAAAACTCTGTCGATCCCGACTGTGATCCCTGGACTAGCAAACGCAACCACGTCTCCATCTTACCGTGCTCCTTTAGAGGAGGAGGACTCTGATAGTGAAACTCCGATCCCTTTTCTCGACGCCGATTCTAGCCTTACCGGTAGCGAGATCGATATGTCTGACACCAACATGACCTCTCTCGAAGACATACAACGCAAGCTTGCGGAGCTTTCCACCTCATTGGCTGAAGAACGCCTGATGCGAGGACAAGCTGAAGCCAGATACCAGCAGTCCGAAGCTCGTTTAGCGGCGTTGGAATCCCGAGGCCCATCTGCACCTGCTGCAGCCACTCAACCACCCACTGCGCCACAGCCACCACCAGCTGAACCGGTCCTGAAGGGCCCCAAAGTCTCGACGCCCGATAAATTCAACGGCGCTCGAGGCGAACCCGCAGAGATCTTTGCAAGTCAAGTCCAGCTCTATATGCTGGCACACCCCTACCTCTTCCCCGACGACCGAAGTAAGGTGGTTTTCTCGCTGTCTTACCTCACGGGAGCAGCCAGCAGTTGGGCGCAACCCTTGACAAAGGAGTTATTCGACCCCGCTACCGCCCACCTCGTAACCTTTGAACGCTTCGTTACAAATTTTAAAGCTATGTATTTCAATACTGAGAAGAAATCGAAGGCGGAACGCGCGCTGCGAAACTTATCGCAGAAGACCACCGTGGCCGCGTATACCCATGAATTTAACATTCACGCAACTTCTACTGGCTGGGAAACTCCGACGCTCATTAGTCAATACGAGCAAGGTTTGAAAAAGGAGATTAGAGTGGCAATGGTTATGACGCAAGAGGATTTCACATCAATTGAAAAAATCGCTAATTTAGCCATCAAGATAGACAGTAAATTACACGGCGCGACCAACCCAACCTTCCATACGCCAAGCACGAGTGCAGGAATCTCAGACCCCAATGCATGGATTTATCAGCCGCCTACGTTAGATTGTCCGAAGAGGAACGAGCACGACGTATGCGAGCGGGTTTATGCTTCCGCTGCAATGGCCAGGGTCACATCTCCAGCGCATGTCCCGATCGTAGAGCTAGTAGGAAAGGGAAGGGTCGAGGTGGTTATCAATCAAAAATAGCTGGATTGGAAATTAAAGTCGCAGAGTTGAGTAATCAGAGGGTGAATCATACCAGTAGTTTAGAAGGAGTAGGACGAGCTGAAACTTCAAAAAATGGAGAAGCTCAGGATTGAAGGTTGTGCCCATCCTGAGCCACCTGGAGAATTTGTCATCAATTAATGTGGGATCTAGTAGAATGAACTTGTGCAATACAAACGACCCGCGCATTTTTTTACACACCACATTATCCATGTCCCAAATTCCCCGAGCCACACCGTCCCAAACATTTCCCGCTACGTTCCTCATTGATTCAGGTGCTACGCACGATGTGCTCAGTGAATCATTTGCCTACCACGCTGGCTTGATAGCCGGTGCTGATCGACATGACCAATTGATCACTGGATTCGACGGCTCTGAGAGCCGATCTTCCTTCAAGACCCACCTTTTTATCAAATCCGACCCATTACCGACCCCATTCATCATTACAAGACTCAAAGACTCGTACGACAGCATACTTGGTATGCCATGGATCAAGAAAAACTTTCACCTGATTGACTGGAGTAAAAGTATGGTACACCCAGCCGAGACTCACGTTGCAACCACTTCATTGGTTTCGTATTGGCCGAAAACACCCTTATCTGGCCACTCGTTGGACCCCATGAGGGACGCTAGGCACAATTACGAGGGGATGTGTGTCAATCCTGACACGTTAGCATCCCCGCAATGTGAGTTCGAGAGTCCAGTTAATCCTAATCACCTTGAAACAGATGACAACCCTCTATCTCCCGATAGTTCTCCCCTTATCACGATTACACCCACCACGAACAACGAAAACCACAAACACATCACGACACAAGACCCGGATACGAGCATTGCGGCCGTAGTGAATACGGCCTCGTCCATCCCGCCACAGAACCCCGACGATCCCAAGGAGGAGCCTCAGGGGCACGCAAGGAACAGTGACGAGGGGGCTAATGTCTTTTTAGATATATCAACGCCCCCGCAATGTGAGTTTGTTACTGATTCCAACCCATGTTTAACCCGAACAGCTGGCAAGCCTGTTTCTCCCTTGAATAACACATCAATCCAGGTCACAGCAGCCAAGACGTCCTGGTCAACCTCAGCACGACTCGCCGCCGACAAAAAGAAACTCGAACCCGTCAAAGCTCTAGAGGAAATTGTCCCGTCTAGGTATCATAGGCACTTACACATGTTTAGGAAGTCCAATGCCCAACGCCTACCCCCACGACGCCGCTACGACTTTCGTGTCGAACTGATACCGGGAGCTCAACCGCAGGCTAGCAGGATAATTCCATTATCACCAGCCGAGGACGCTGCTTTGGAGGAATTGGTGAATTCAGGCTTAGCCAACGGGACTATCCGTCGAACCACTTCGCCATGGGCTGCCCCTGTGTTATTCACAGGGAAGAAGGACGGCAATCTGCGCCCTTGTTTTGATTACCGTAAGCTCAACGCCCTAACCGTCAAGAACAAATACCCACTACCGTTGACTATGGACTTAGTCGACAGTTTGCTGGATGCCGAAGACTTTACCAAGCTTGATATGCGCAATGCGTACGGTAATCTTCGAGTAGCAGAGGGTGATGAGGATAAACTGGCCTTTATATGCAAACAAGGCCAGTTTGCACCTCTGACTATGCCTTTTGGGCCAACAGGCGCCCCTGGTTATTTCCAATACTTTATTCAAGATATCTTATTGGGACGTATAGGTAAAGACACCGCGGCCTTCTTGGATGACATTATGATTTATACAAAGCCTAAAGTAGATCACGAAGGCGCTGTTGATGGCGTACTCGACGTCCTATCCAAGCATACACTCTGGCTGAAACCCGAAAAATGCGAGTTCTCGAAGAAGGAAATTGAATACCTTGGCCTTATTATCTCTAAGAATAAAATCAGAATGGACCCGACGAAAGTGAAAGCCGTCAAAGAATGGCCAGCACCCCAATCAGTATCTGAACTCCAACGCTTCATTGGATTCGCCAATTTTTACCGACGTTTCATCGACCAATTTTCAAGAACCACAAGACCACTTCATAATCTGACCAAGCTCAACGCGCACTATGTCTGGGATGAAAAATGCGAAAAAGCCTTTGAGAGCCTGAAGACCTCCTTCACCACCGCACCCGTACTGAAGATAGCCGATCCATACAAGCCGTTCACTCTGGAATGTGACTGCTCCGATTTTGCATTAGGAGCAGTGCTATCACAACGCAGCAAGGACGATGGAGAACTCCACCCAGTAGCTTACCTGTCCAGATCACTAGTCCAAGCTGAAAGGAACTACGAGATCTTTGATAAGGAACTACTGGCGATTGTCGCGTCTTTCAAAGAGTGGCGCCACTACCTGGAGGGAAACCCCAACCGCCTAGATGTGATAGTCTACACGGACCATCGTAACCTGGAGTCTTTCATGACAACCAAGCAGCTTACCCGCAGACAGGCTCGATGGGCGGAGACACTGGGCTGTTTTGATTTCGTGATTAAATTCCGACCCGGCAGTAAAGCTACCAAACCAGATGCCTCATCTAGAAGACCGGACCTGGCGCCTACTAACGAGGAAAAATTGACCTTTGGCCAGTTGTTAAGACCCGAAAACATCGGCCCAGACACGTTCCCGGTAGAGCTTGCTAGCGTAGAGGGGTTCTTCGAAGATGAAGTGGTTGCACTCGACAATTCTGAGCACTGGTTTGAGGTGGATGTATTGGGCATCGCTGAAACTGACACTAAGGCACCGGACATTCCTACGGATGATCAAATTATACAACGAATCAGAGACGCAAGCAAAGAGTGTGACAGGATAGGGGAACTGATGAACGCAACCTTGAACCCGATATCAGCCAAGACGAAAGCAGCTTTGAAGCATTACAAAGTACAAGATGGTATCCTCTACAACCAAGGTAGAATAGAGGTACCTGACGTCGACGACATCAAATACTCAATACTAAGAAGCAGACACAACTCATTGCTTGCGGGCCACCCAGGTCGAGCAAAGACTCTCGGATTGGTCAGGAGAAGCTTCATCTGGCCATCTCAGAAAGCGTACGTCAACAGGTACGTGGACGGTTGTGACTCTTGTCTAAGGGTTGAATCAACCACACAGAAACCCTTTGGGACTCTGGAGCCATTACCAATACCGGCTGGCCCGTGGACGGATATCTCATATGACCTTATCACCGGCCTCCCTGCATCAAACGGCTACGACAGCATATTAACCGTGGTGGATAGATTAACGAAAATGAGTCATTTCATTGCTTGTACTGAATCAATGTCGGCTGAAGACCTAGCAGATCTCATGATGAAGAACGTGTGGAAGCTTCATGGAACTCCCAAGACGATAATCTCAGATAGGGGTAGTATTTTCATTTCACAGATCACGGAAGAAATTGACAAACACCTAGGTATACGCCTTCACCCGTCAACCGCTTTCCACCCACGTACAGACGGTCAAAGCGAGATCGTCAATAAAGTAATCGAACAATATTTACGACATTTCGTTAAATATCGACAAGACGATTGGGAAAGTCTACTGCCCACAGCTGAGTTCTCGTATAACAACAAAGACCATGAATCCACGGGCATTTCACCGTTTAAAGCTAACTATGGATTTAACCCATCATTCAACAAAGTACCATCAGCTGAACAGTGTGTGCCAGCAGTAGAGAAGAGGATGCAAACACTCGCCGAAGTGCAATCTGAATTAAATCAATGTTTAGAATTAACTCAAGAGAAGATGAAAGAACAATTTGACAAAAGAGTACAACAAACACCAAGATGGGAAGTAGGAGACCAAGTCTGGTTGAACGGACGAAACATTTCGACAACTAGGCCAAGCCCAAAATTAGAAAATAGATGGCTAGGTCCTTTCTTCATTATCCAAAAGATATCAAATTCTACTTATAAATTGAATCTCCCTCTTTCCATGAAAAGCGTCCATCCTGTATTTCATGTCTCTGTACTCAGGAAACATAACCCGGATACAATACATCAACGAAAACAACCCCCAGTCGAACCAATCATAATACAGGATGAAGAAGAATGGGAAGTCAACGAGATACTAGATTGTAGAAGAAGGTACAACAAGAAGGAATACTTTGTGAGTTGGAAAGGATTTGGCAAGGAAAACAATTCATGGGAACCCGAAATCAACCTCAAGAATAGTCAAGATTTAGTTAATGAGTTTAATTTAAAATATCCCGACGCAACAAATAAGTACAAAAGGAGAAGGCGGAAGAAGTGAGAGGGCTATGCTTTTTCCCACTGGGTTTTTTAACGCAGCCCGTGGAAAGAATGCAGAGCTTGCAAGAGGAAGCTTGGGCATTAAAGGGGGGATAATGTTATGAACTGGTTCTATTTCACTTGAGTGACATATTCACATTACATGTCACAAGCTCGAGAACCATCTTATAGTTGTAGATACATTGCCTGTACAGCTTTTCCCTCATCCGACAATCCACATAGGAAGACTGGTAATAGATACAAATCCTCACCAGAACTCCCTTGACCCTCGTCGCCGAAAACCCCCAAGTCTGTCCATAACATAGATAGAAACCTTCTCTCAAGTATATTGAGATGACCATTTTTAATTGATTTTTTTTGATTTTTTTTATTTGATTGAAAGTGTGCTTCCTTCCGCCTTAAGTTATTATCTGTCCATAAATCAAACTTCAAGAGGAAGAGGTTTTTGGATTTTGTCCTTATTTGATTGAAAGCCTGATTTTTTTAAATAAATAAGGCTTTGGGTCCTTATTTGATTGAAAGCGTTAAGTTTTTATTTGTCCATAAAAAACATTAAAGAGGAAGAGGTTTTTGGAATTTGTCCTAAAACCTCTTCCTCTATTGGTCCTCAAAAACTCTCGTCTCCAAATGATAGAAAACACATCACTCGAGATGTGTTTGATGTCGAAAACACATCACTCGAGATTTGTTTGATGAAACATTTGCTTCCATCAAGGGAGAAGTTTGTGCATCATCTTTCACAAACACAACTTTATTGCAGTCAGTGGGGGGGGAAAGGGAACAAGACAAAAGGGAAAAGAAACAACTTTGACTTGATAGTAACGTGGCTAAGTCAATACATCAGGCTGACCAAGGGCAACAGGGAACAAGAGGAACTTTGGCAGACAAGAGGAAGAAATGTTAACAACACAAGTGGTGAAACTTGCTTTGCGGGAATATGTCCTCGCTTCATTTAAAGGGGAAAGAAACCATTGAAAAGAGACACCTTTGACTTTATACAGTAGCTAAGTAAAGAGGTCAGGGCATCCAAACCCGGGAGCTAGAGGTTCATGGCTGGAGAGAGAGGAAGAAAAGATAAAAGACAAAAAGATAACAAGAGGTCTAACAAGACCTGCGGGAATATGTCCTTGCTTCATTTTTCGGTGCCGATTGAGTATCCTATTCTGAAATTCAAACCGAGTAAGTATTGGATTACATTTGATTATGATAAGGATTAGGAGAAGACTCACGCGGTTTTCCGTGGTCGTTAGCTTCTGGAGCCTCGATCACAGTATCTAATACACGAGGAGCCTCTTTCTCGGTATGTTTGTGTTGGGCTAATTCCAACATGCGACCAGCAAGGTCATGGGGAATTCCATGACCCTTCAACGTTTCCAAAGTCATCTTGACACTGGGGACCAAGTCAGTCCACGACGTGATTTCCGAGTTGCGGAGTATGTTGCGGATGCGAATGAAACTGGCGGTGACTCCACATTGCCTCACAAAGTCATCCAATTGAGCCTCGTGCTCATGGAGGACCTCTAGCTCATCGGTGTCGGGTACGATATCATCTTCGTCATATGACATTTCAGAACACGCCCCATCTTCAAGATAACAAAACTTGTCGGGAGGAGGCATAAAACCGTCTAAAAGGAAGGGTGGCAAGCATAGAATGAGCATAAGAACTGGGAAGGTCCGATAAGATAGAAGAGGTACCTGAATTAATTTCAACCTCGATTCTTGGCTTCTTATCTAAAGCCTTGGCCGCCGAGCGAGGTGGTGGGTCCAAACCGTCTGTTTACAGCGATGCAAAAACAATCAGAATCACTTTGACAACTCGATTAACTAACATCATGCTGGGCAACACTCAAATACTGACCAGAACTGATGACAATTGGCTGGTTTTTCTTTTCAGAGAAAATATCAAACGCAAGAGGCAAATCTGCAAGGTCCCAAAGGGCAGTAAACCGACAGACCGTCAGTCCATGAAACACAAAGGTTTGATCAAACACCACACTAACCCGAACTGCTATCATCTTCAATTTTCGGCTTCTTATCAGTTTTGACATCGCCCTTCTTGGAAGCTGCGCCTTTTATCAGAATGGAAAGGCAGACAACGGTGAGTTCAATGAATGGTTGCAAGCGTGTATTGAATATGCTTACCACCACAGCCCGCTTTGCGTTTGGTGTTCTTGTGATTGGAACCGGAAACCAACACAATCTCATCGCCGTCTGAATCTGAAAATGTGAAAAACCCAACGTTAGAGTGTTTATCATTTGCGTGATGAATGGAGGCATACCATTCTCATGTTTCACTTCAACTTTGGGGAACATCGATCCCAAATTCATGTGCTTACCACCTATTTTCGAAGGGGATTTGGGAAATCCCTTACTACTGCCGTCACCGGTAGTAAATAGACCAGAGCTGTTTCTGGGATATTTCAGCTCAAGACGATCCTTGAGCTTCATACCAGGATGATCAACACGATTCTTTGCTATTTTGAGTCGATATTCCTTAGTGGAAGGAGCCATGTGCCTGGTGGCCATGTTAGATTCCTGGACGTAGACGTAGAATTGCCAAAAGTCAGTCTACCGTCATCAAGATAGGAAGGTAGAGAGGGTAGACCTAGAGAGAAGAGAGAAGATGAATGACCCACAATGGCTTTTGCCCACAAGAAGGCACACCGTAAAGTAAATCTATACAATAATGTCGGATTCCAAGGGGCTACCAAGATAGCCCCATCACCGCCTCCGTGCCCCATCTCACCTTGCTGATGGAAGATTTCGGCAGTCAACTTGTGTAAAGCCACAAGTTTCTCTTGGTCCTGTAGTAGAATAGAATCATGTCATAAATGATGACGAATAAGTGAAACAAACAAAAGATACAAAGATAGAAAGCATTGAAAGACAGGAATAAAGACTTACACTAAGCCGCTCTTTGACGTCTGCAAGCTCTACCTCATGGGCTAATGACCCGTTGTTGGTCGCGATCAGCTCCTTTGCCGCGGTGGCCTGCGGGAAGGAGCAGGGCAAAGTCAATATTGATGAATGACTTGGATGGAGCGAGGAAAATGACCAGTCAAATCCAAAGAGAAAGCAACCGGAAAAACAAACTCACCAGCGATTGTAGGAGACTCGCCATAGATCAGCACGGTGGCCCTGCGGCTTCGGGAACTGCCCAACTTGGGCACGAATTCCAGATACTTGGCATAGTCCAGAAGATACATTGCCGGAAGACGACCTACATTGACCTTCCAGGTCAATGTAGGCGCCATATTGGAACGAAGTATCATTTTCTTCATTCCAGGCGCATACAGTTCACAGACGTCTCCACACAAATCCTTGAACTCCTTGAATGATTTGCCATACAAGGAAACTCGAAAATCTAAGGGCTGGCCGTCATTGAAAACCTTAGAATCGATGACATTGATTGTCGTTCCAGCACGGCGACTGTTGGAGGCGGACTTTGCTGGTGGCTTGGCATTTGCATTCAGAGCGGTCACGATCACCTCGTTGTTTGTGGGGATCTTGAACAAAACCTGAATGATCATCTCATTCTCGGTGTCGAACTGTTCACGTTCCAGGGTGCCGACTTGATACAACGGAGTGTTGTTGGGGGCGCCGGCGGGTAGATCATCTCCATCTAGGGGCCCGGAACTAATGTAAGAAACCAATCTAAGAAAAAGAAAACAATGATGGATATGTCACGTACATTCGTGCATGGGATCGACAGAACTTTCTTGACTAGAGACCAGGCCGCCGTTGGAGGCGGTGTGCGACGAGAGATGGGCAGAGGCTAAGCTAGAGTTTGACATGTTCTATGTAAAAAGAGGAAAGAAACCAATGTGTCAAAAAAGGCCAAAATGATATCAAAGTGGGAACGAGATTGAAGAATGAAATGATGAAGACACGCACTAATTTGTAAAATTAGGCAGGTAAAACAAAAAACAGTGATGATTTTACTAGGTGGTTGTTTGGTAAAGTTGGTAAACAAAAGATTTTGTTTAGATTGATCGGAACAAGAAACTGTGGAATCAAAAAGCTGATACTGAAGGAAGGAACCACGGAAATTTTCTAAAAACCGCTGTCCTTTATAGCCCAAAGAGGGGTACCAAGGCGGCAAGACGCAGACAACTGGTGAGTAGTGGTCCTTCCGGGAAACGTGCCGTTTGGATAGATGAAAAACTTCTGTTGAGAGCGCTGCTGAAGAATGCTTGGCATAAACTACTAAAGATCCCTAGATGGAATCTTCGGTGCGAGAGAGGAGTGGTGTGTCATTCACACGATATGAAAGCATTCGTGTGGAGGCGGAGGCGAAACCAGTGTTAAACAAAGCAAAGCTGCCTAGATAGAAAGTTCGGTAAATGACTCGAATGAGTTAACTTGGCCTAAGCCAATTGAATCATCTTGTGGGAAGGAATTGTTCTCCTCACGTGTGCTGCTGTCTTGAATAGTACCTTCAAAGCAATATGATATAGCCGTCGGGCGGAAATAATCCTAATAAGGAAGGCTTGGTGCTCTTGACGCAGTCAGTGAATCAAAATCGAGACTTCCAGGATGGAATCTTAGGTCGAGAGCAATAAGGTTTGTTGGTTCAAAGATTTAATCAACTTCCTGGTTGGAATCTTTGGCAGAGAGTAATAAGGTTTGTTTGAAACGGTTTGCGTTCTAGGTTGGAATACGTGGTGGAGAGTGATAAGGTAATAAGGTTGAGTCAAAACGATGAATGGAACCTTTGGTATCAACAAACGCAACGTTACGTTAGTCAGTGAGTCAAATGACACGACAAATTCATCTCAAAGGAAGCCAAACTGACGTCTGAATGTGATCGAATTGGCCGAATCGTAGAACAGTAATTTGAGGTGAAAAGACCAATCGAAAGGTGGTGGTCAGGTTCAAATAGTTGCTTATTGATCTGGTTGTGGTCTGGTGTGATGGTTTGGTGGTTGAGGTGAGGCTGTCGAAATGAAGGTTGGCAGGAGAAAGGGGAAGAAGCGATAGCTCGAAAGGTTGTATCGGATGTGAAAGACGGTCCCCAGTGTTCCGGTAGGTCAAGAGGTCCAGTATTGAGCTTCTGAATGCCTTTGACGTCTTTGTGGAAGGCAGCTGTGAGACATAGTGCTGGACAGATATGAGAAAGGGGCATGGTGCGGTCACAGAGATTGTGACGGCCTGAGATATCAAGTTGTTGGTCAAAAACTAGTTTTCACCCAGGTTTAGGACTTGTGAGTTCTTGCCAGATGTACAGGCTATCAAAAAAAAAACCGAAGATTCACGGAAGCGCTGTAGGATTTGTTAAGGTCAAACTTGCGTTACCCTTGACCTTAGCTTAACGCAGCTCTTGGGCTGACCCGGTCGGTCGAGTCATGACCTCCATCCCGATTTCGACCGTTTGTCTTAGTACGGTGTACGTATAGACTCATACTGACATATAAACATGACATGGATAAAACATGTAATTTTTCCATGTCATGTTTGGTTGAAATTCATCCCCAAGCCAAATACCGTACGACACAACTCATACTGACACACATCAACATGGATTTTTGTTTTCCAAATCCCGTGTCGTAACATGAGTCATGGCGGATGGTCTGACGGCCGACAAGTGTCATACCGACAAACAACATGACACCATATCACATCTAATAGCTTTGCCCGATTCACCACCGGAGTGTTAAATCACATTGTGCTAAACAGCATTCAGCCAAACTGTAGTTCATATTTGAAATTTGAAATCCGAAAGAAAGTTCTTAAACCGAGCTCTGGTCTAAAGTACCTTTTAAACCATCAACCCTTCCCACCTACCAACTCCAACATTCCATCTTTCACTTTTGTTTCTTTGGGTAAGTATTTCAACTCCTTCTATCTTTGCAGTACTCACAATATTCAACTTGGAACTTATTGATTTGCCATCAAAAGTACCTTTCTTTTCTGTTCAATTAATGAACTGTTCTCTTGCTCAGGTTTAGATTCCATTCCTCTTCTCAGTCCCACCCCCTTTCAATCCATTTGTTATTTCCTAAGAAACAAGTCTTCAACATTTTACTAATGATTACTTTGACATTGGTTTAATGTTTTTTAGTGATTAGGCACAAAATTGATCTTATATTCAATCGATCCTTTCCATTTGATTGAATCATAATCAATCATTTTTCCCCTCCAATTCAATCGAAATCAATCGTTTCAATCCAAATCAATCAAGATCAATCATCTCCATCTGATTCAATCAAGATTGATCATCTCCATCTGATTCAATCAAGATCAATCTTCTTCATCTGATTCACCTGAAATCAATCATATCAACAGTTCATCATTGAATCTTTCATTTGTAATCAAAACAAGCAATCTCATCTAAGTCAACTCAAAACAAACCATTTCAACTTCTTGAAAGTAATTCAACTTGCTGATTTTTAGATTTGTCTATTTAAAACATGGTAATGATGTGAGATGAAACTTACTTTTTTTTCCATGATGGTCAGATAGCAGTCTACACAGAAGTCTCACAGGCCAATTTGATAGGGGATAGAATTGTATCTTGCATGTTCATTCTTCACTATGTGAATGCGGAACTACTTGATGTCACCAATGCTATTCCTCTATCAAATTGGTTTTGGATCATGATGATCTATGGTCACTGCTGAGGTTCAACTGTACTTGTCCTCCCCAAGGCTGGGTTGGCTTCACGCACCAGATTCTTGTGGGTAGGGTTTGACACAGACCTTATGCAAGCCTAGTCATCATTATCCAAGTGTGGGATGGACGCTGAAAGTGGGTTGCTGTCTGACCATAAGGAATCTTTAACTGATATTCTTTTAATTGGTTTGGTATTAGTGGTAAGAAGAAGTATAGATCTCCATCACAGAAATGTGTTTAAAAGGAAATGTGATATGATAAAAAATAAGAAGCAGAAGGATGGGATGGAAGCATTCAAAGCAAGATTAAAATCTTTGTCATTTGACTTAATTCATGTATTTTCTGATCTTTATAAAAATTTGGCTCCTTTTTTCAAATTATGAATCAGTATTGTTTTTTTCATATACTTCAAGGTATACTTGTGGTTGAGATGCATACAAAATATGAGTTTTCAAATAAAAATGTGTAAGATATTGACGGTAAAGTACCAAAAACATTGAGATCTTTTCCTTCAAAGAGAATGCCATCCCAGTTGTGATCCAACAAAGCATTACACATAAAACAAAATGCAACCCATATGTTAAAGTACACATATGAGCATCTCTTCAATTGATTTGCCATCATGGAAGTGTTTGCTAATGGCATTACGTCTTTCAAGGTGATCCTTGCAAACAGGTGGCTTGGTGTTGTTGTGATCCAAAAGAGCTAGGATTGAGTGTTTAATTTTTTTTAAAACTCTTGATTGCAGAGAAAAATACATCAAAAATCGGATAGTCCAATCCGAATGCAATATTTTGGAGAAATTTACATTTGGTGTCATGTTGTGTCAGTATGACACTTCCCGGACGGTACAATGTACGAGATGACTCATGTTACGACACGGGATTTGGAAAACAAAAATCCATGTTGATGTGTGTCAGTATGAGTCGTGTCGTACGGTATTTGGCTCGGGGGTGAATTTCGACCAAACATGACATGGAAAAATTACATGTTTTATCCATGTCATGTTTATATGTCAGTATGAGTCTATACGTACACCGTATCTTAGAGCACCATATCGCTTGCCTCAGCGGGAAAACGTGAAGAATAAGTCAGATATCTTTTCTTGCGCAACAACTCTGTAGCCACTTCACAAATCACTCGTATCTAGCCCGCAAACGAAGTAGCACGTTCAATCTCGCCGCGCAACGTCTTTCACTAGGCGAGGACACTCTTGACTTCCAAGGACTGTACATCCCCTTGTCCTTCGCTTCTAGAGTCTACATACTCTCTCTCTCTCCCTGGTTCACCGGATCACGTCTGACGCCGAGGCATTGAAATCTGTAAAATATCCCAACAGTTATTGTACAAATCCAGTCAAAAAGGGAAATGGTGATCTGGCTTCCTTCACCAACTCTCCGTGGATTTTCCATGTGTATCTATTTCTCTCTGTGTGTTTTGACTTTAAGGCTGTATGAGCTGTGCTTTGTTTTCTTCATGTTTCTGATCACAAAGGACATCCTTTCAAGTGGAAAAAAAAATCAAGCGAAGGACTACATAGAAGTATCGTATTCTACCCTACCAAACTCGCGATCAATCCAACATTTTAACCAAACTAAGAAAGGACCAAGTCGAGAAAGACTTTGACGAACATTTGCTAGGGAAGGTCAGAAGACGGATCGCCGCTTTTTTTCAAGAAGGGCTGAATATTGAACTACCTACCAATTCCGAAGTTACAAAAGGTTATAAAACCTCACCACAATATCACTTTTTTCAGATCCTTACTCCACATCTCTCATTCACGATCAATCACAGAAATCCAAAGAGATGCACACATCTGATTTACGATTTGACCTTGATGGACCGGAAGTATGCCAAGATCTCGTGATCAGTCCACCTTTATGCTCAGACAGCTCTTCAAAGACTCTAATTCAAAATGAAAGTTCGATAATACCGGGAAAAGAGTCAGGTGAATGTGGCAGTAGACTTGAAGAAGGATATCTAAATTCATACTCAAACGCAACCTGTGGTACGATTTCAAATGAATCATGTGGAAATTTCGAACCAATTGATTGGCCAAACTTAATCCTCTTGACTGTGATCATGGGAGGTTCTTGGGCATTTGGTCGGTATTTACCTGAACCTTGGGCTAATGGTCAAAGTATCAGTTGGGCAAGGATTTATGTAGGACTTATTGGGATCATCATTGGAACTACTACGGGGTATGTTTTGTTGGTTAGGATTGGAAAGAAAGTTTACAATGCAGTTGTGTTTTCGACTTTGATTCATAGTGATGTGGCATTGAATGGTTAGTTTTCATTGGAAATCAATTCTTACCTTTCTAGATTTCTTTAGCAGATAACTTGGCTCTACCTCATGTCTTTTGTCATTTTTGCTTACTTCATGATTCAATTGCAAAAACTGACTACATTGATTTCCTTTGGTCTCACTCTCCAATTTGAATCCGCGTCAAAAGAGCTAGATAGGTTTGCAGAACCTGGTCCGATTTCAGCACTGCAACTTTTAAGATTCAGATTCTTATCAGATTCAATGAGTCGTTCAAAGAGACCATACGATAAAAGACCATGGTCGATTTACATTTTATATTTCTTATTGATCGTCACATTTTCCCAAGCTGGTTCATTCCTTTATGGTCGCACGGTGTTGATTTCTTCGATCACACAACCACAAGTAAGTTCTAAAAATCTGACGATCATAATGGATTCTTCTCTGTTACTGACTTTTGTCATTTTTCTCTCACAATCAATTGATCGTGGTATATCAAATTTCAAGTTGGAAAAATATCACTTACTTCCCGTGTTAGGAGGTTTATCAGCAAAAGATATCAAGTATGCGAAAGATATGACCACCTCTTTTACAGATGGATCTAAATGGACAGTATCATCACTATCATCTTTAATTACTCCAAGCACATCAAACTTACCTTTCATCTCAAACAAAACCGGTACCAAAACTTCCATAACGTTTACTCAAGCTTCATCTGAATATTTTTCTTTGAATCCAACCACAGTTGGACCTGCATCAAATCTTTGGAAAGCTTTTGAAAATCAAATCAGTTATAATCTTAATTCAAATTCTAATCATAATCTTAGTCAAGATTTCAGTTTAGGTGAAAATCTTTTAGGTCAAGAAAGCTTTGGAGAAACAGGTTTGAAATCTGTTTTGATTGAATATCCATTATGGGGATCAAGAGTTTCGTGTAAAACCATTGATGAAGGTCAAATACCTAGTCAACTGATATCAAGACCGTCAAGTACAGGTTCTATTCCGGATTATTTCATGGTGGTTGCTAATCAGACTATCAAGGAGTTGCTGGATCAAGTTGAGGGTGATCCTGAATTGGTCAATTCGAATGTGCTATTTAATCCTACGGCGAATTCTAGTGATTTAACCCCGGGACAGGTCGTGATTGGTAAGCTTCAATACTCTTGGTTCAATCCGATCATCTCATATCACTTCTGCAAATTGATATCTGGATCTTTTTCGTTGTTGATTCCATTGATAGGTCCATGGACTGAGTGAGTACAAAAGATATACCCCCGATTCTAAAAAAATTTGACAAGGCAGAAAATTACACGATGTAACTAACATTACGATTTGCTTGTGTGATTTCAAACAAACAGTGATGGAGTTGCACTTTCATTTCAATCATTCATGTTAGATAATGGAACCACAGGACAAGGAGCCACAGCAATAGACTTTATTCTGATTAGGCTTAATACGAGTTATATCAACAGCTCTCAAAGTGGTCCATTAGATTACGAATTTGAAACTACTACATCTTTATCTGATTCTTTAGTAGGTATTGATGGTGCAATCTGTATAACCAAAGTTTCACCGTGAGTCGAACGTTTGAATTCGTGAATCAACAAACAATTATTGATTGAATTTATTTGAAAATAGGTATCTTGTTAGAGCTGTTGATTCGAATGGTTTAGTAGCTTTGAAAGAAATCATATCAGAAGGAAATAACATTGATCAAAGAATAACTAACATTCATGAAGAAATCGAACCTGAACTCTTAACGACTTTTGATAATGTTGAAGATGAAATCACTTCAACCGGAAAAGAAACCGTATTCCTCAACGCTTTTTTAAATTCTCGTAACCAATTAAAAAAAGATAACAGTAGAGTAAGTCTTCGCGAATCATTTTATTCTTCTTTCATCGATTGATCATCACTGATTTTTGATGGGTGGTCTTAGGATGAACCATATGTTCCAAATCCAACATTAGTTCAAATGTCTACCATCAATAAACAATCTATCATTCCTACTTTAGCTTATGGAAAATTAAATTCAACACGTACAGAGATGGTCATCAGATCTACAAACAGTCGATATTTTCAATGGTATCTAGTAGGACAAACCAGAATCTTTGGTCATGCTTATGTTTACAGATCTGTTGCTGTTGTGAAAGTTAACATTCTGTGGTTCACAATTCTAATGATCACTCTTTGTGAGTTTATTTTTACCTATTTTTTGAAATAAGTTTTTTTGATTTTGTTTCTTTGATTGATTTTCTTTTGAATAGATTTCTTGGGTTTATTAGGAATCTTAGGTTCTCCTAAATTACCTCTCAATTTACCTTCTCAAGAAATTAGAGTTTCTACTTGGTTATCTAACTTTTCAGATCAAGTGATTCTTAATAATTCTTCTTCTGAGAAAATCGATTCGATCGATCAATCTGTTGGTAATCATCATCATCATATTACAATTCGGTATAGAGATCCAAAAAACAATTAAGAAATTATGTGGAAGACTTGGTTTGTGGAAGTGGTTTTTATGAGATTTTTGTTGTGATGTAGTTTATTTTTGCGTTTGTTTTGTAAGTAAGATCTTGACTTGAAGTCCAAAGTAGATTATCATTTTTTTGCACAAATTCATGTATATACTGTTGATTGTTTAAAAGAAGCCCCATTATGATTTATCAAAACTTTTATACAAAGAAGCATACAATTTGAGGTTTTCAGTTTGAAAACAGGAAGCGGTGTGTACGGAGGCGGTGAGCTGGAAGCGGAGTCAGCGCCATCAGAGAAAAGTTCGATGCATTTTACAAAACAACTGATCTAGATCTTTTGCCAGGCATTTATAAGGGCCCAAAGATTTTAACAAAGAGATCTCAAACCATCAGGCTCTATTTCTTAACCCAACAGCAACAATAACCAAACTGATCACCACACGAATCAAATCCATACGCACAACTGAGTAAATCCAAAGTGTACCAAGAGCTAGAGTTCGTTTCATCACCAATAGATAAGAATATCTATTCGTGAAGAAAACCATATAAGATCTACCAATGGCTGATAAACAGAAAAGGGTGAAGTGAGTGAAGCAGTTCTTAGAGTAATGAAAGTTGAGCGATAAAACTGTCAGTGTTCATCACTAGAGAAGAAAGATGAGATGATGTAGAAAAAATGAAGGTCTGGGAGATTAAGTTTTCTAATGATGTGATCAGCACGAGTAAAGAAAAGATGAGAACAAGTTCTAGACGAAACAAATTAACGAAAACACTTGAACTTGAAGCAAAATGACGAGAGAAGAGGAGACCCCACCTGACGTCGTGTCACCAGGAAATAGAGTCGAACAGCAGGACAAGTTGGAAACACCCTACAAAACAACTTCTAACCGTGAGGTGGTTGTAAAGGTTTGGCAAACTTTGTGAAGAATAAGAAATACAAGGGAGAAAGCAAGAATCAGCAAATTCAACTTCTTACTTGAACAGCCACAATGTGATGGATAGATCAAGAGGTGGTAGTCCCCAGCCACATCGACCCTTCAAGTTCCATCAACAAAACCCAAAAGCCGTATTCTCGAACCGCGCAAGTACGTATGTATAACGCCTGTCTTCCCCAAACCAAGCTTAAAGATTCTTTGATGCTTTCGCGAACGGTCTTACGAAGAATCTAAAAAGAGAAGGCGCCGTGACTCAGCCTCCCGGATCCAAAGAACACTGAGGTCCTTTGACATTCAAAGCAAACATTTCACATGTCTCATAAACCGCGGTCAAAACTTTCCGACAAATCTAGTCTCAGGTAAATCACCTCACGTATCTGCGCTTGCCAATCGTGTTAGTCTTTTAGCTCCAGAGACTAAAGCCGAGAGGAGGATGTGACCGTGTTGGAAGAGGGGCTTAGTTAAGCTTACTGAATAGCTCGATGGAAAAAGCTTGAGGTAAGGGTGCTCAAGTTGATTTTTTCGCTGTTTTTATCGTAAAGAAATTCCCGGCATCGTGTTGAAGTCAAATAGATGCATGATGATGAGGTATGGATCGACTTTGGGATAGACAATGATCTTGTATTGATGATCATATATCAATGTTCTCTAGAAATCAATCTGACGACAAATCCTGAGCGCTGGAGATTTGTAGAGTAGGGATGACATTATTATACAAAAGTTTGAACCTTTTATTTTGTTGTGAATTCTTCAAGTTATATTCTGGCGGTGTTGAACCACTTCTGAAGATCGAAATCCTAAAAGGAAACTTGCTGAACTGTTTGTTATTTCTTTTGAAGACTATCAACCAAGTGAATCAAGAGATACACAGTGACGGTCCAGCATATTTCCATGGATACTATTGCTGTGTTATGTGGCGCAAGAATGGAAGAGATTGCCTATGTACATACAGCTACTAAAAAAATTATCGGTAAATTTCCCATATTTTGTTGCACAGGGTTTTAACTACAAAACGGACAAAACCACAGGATGACCCTGAGAGACCTGTAAAGTCCTGTCAAACCTTCTCTCTCCCCACCCATGACAGACAGGTTCTAGAACATGTCAGCATCACGACCGTAGAAGAGGACCGAGGTCCCCTTATCTAAAAGGGACCGAGGTTCCCTTATCCTTATCTCTGGACCGAGGTCTCCGTATCTTCTTCTCCTGAACCATATTTACATAAATTCCCCATTTCACTCAACCTTTCGATTGCCATCGAACTTTCGAACTTCCACCCAAGACCTCAAGAACACGCCTTTCGATTCGAAAAACTCATTAACGTTAGATCCATTCAGTACAACTACGGAGCATCGGCCGGTAATTTCACTGTTCAACACCACCTCGCTTTCAATCACATCAATCGCATCACTTCTTTCGATTTCACACCGGTGCAATTGCATCAAACAACACTGTCACTGGGAGGCTCAGCCGGGAAACGCACCGTTCAAGACACTTCAATTGCAACGTCGATTTCATTAGAACAACAAACTCATTCGTACATCCTTTCAGTAAGCTTACGCAGCTTCAGCCGGCAATCTCACAATCTCACCGTTCAAGGCCTCCACTTCTATTGCAACACATCCTTCTTGCAATTAACGCTTATTTTGATTCAAACTCATATCTCGATCTAAGCGCTTCTTTCGAGCGATTCAAGCACTTCTTTTGATTCGAGTCAATCGAGCACAAGCACATCTGTTGAATCCAGCACGTCTTTCGAGTCAAGAACTTCTTTCGAATCAAGCAACTCGTCTTATTGGATTCAATAGCCAAGCACTTCTTTTGATTCGAGTCAATCGAGCACAAGCACATCTGTCGAATCAAGCACTTCTTTCGAGTCAAGATCTTCTTTCGAGCCAAGCAAGTCTTCTGATTTGTCTCAATTAACGCTTATTTATTTTGATTCAACCTCGTCATACAATTCTTTGGAACCTTTTGATTCCATCTTCAGGAAGTTCATACCAAAGAGATATTCGATATCAATTCAATGTGATCATAAATTCATACCAAAGATAATTTCTAGCTAGCTTCACACGCAGTCTCGAGCTAGCCAATCAATTTGACATTGCTTGGCAATCTTTGCCAACCGGAAACAATTTTGATCAACGCTTCACCTCTTTGATTCCATCCACTTAGCGGCCAAAGAGTGGCTACGGCTGCCTATAAAAGCCTTCCTATCACCCCACCTGCACCCATTCCTCAAGCTACTTTCCGCTGTCGATTTGATTTATTCAAAGTCTTTGTGTTCCAACTTCTTCCGACTCACATAACCTTCGTGATTCCAGTCTTACAGCCCTTCTTAGAAATAATGGTTTTTTTTTTTTTTTTCACTCCCAGATTTTACTCGGTTTCTGCCGTCTCATTCCTTGAGACTTTTAGACTGAGGAGTGGGTGGTGATCTCATATTTCTCCTGCACATCCATCTTTTAACCACTATTCCTAATCGCAAATCCCTCGTTCGACAATCACGACCTCACCACCCACTGCACTCGTGATGAACTCACCTGCCGGACGGAGTCACGGCAGCCGAAAGTGCCATGACTCCGTTTTTCTTTGGAGCCCTTCGACCACCACGAAATCGACCAAGATATCACTTCATCCCCTTTCACCTCGAGTTCTTTCATTCCACTTGTTTATCACCACGCCTTCAACTTGGTACTCTTTTTCTTTTGTTAAAAGTTTTCAATTCTTTCCGAGCCTATCATCTCACGTTTGATTCTCCCATTTTCTTTAGTGTTTTTCGTCGTCTTAGTGCGTCCATCGTCAACTACCATTTGAAAACGCCCTTTCGATTCAAAGCTCCAATCGGTCAGTGAGCCCATATTGTTGTGGATTGTTCACATGCTTATCTTTCATTCATCTGGGTCAGAAATGCCTCGCGAAGCAATCGACAATTTGATCCCTGAAGGCGAAAATCCCGACGAAGGTCTGTTCATCGATCCTAATGTTTCCCTTTTTCTAATTTCCCATCTTCATCCAACTGAGTCATTTCTCTGGTAGTTTTCAATCCGCCCTACCTGCTCACCGACGGTAACGACGCTCCAGCGCGGCATCCCACTCTTGAGCGCCTCTGGTGCCAAGGCACGGAAAGCCGTCGCTTGATGGAAGAAAGCCAATCTTTCACCATCGCCGTCGCTTTCAAGATTCACACCAACGATACTGTTGATGTGATGCCCGGAATGGCCAAAGCTCAATCTCCTTCGAAGATCACCGCCGGCAAAAAGAAACCACCGCCAGCTCCTACAGGCGCCATCATTGATTCGACCGATTTCAAAGACGGGCGCCTCTTAGACTTCAAAGTCTTCTTGTATGGCAAGTCTTTGAACGAATTCAAAGACTTGATCGGCGATGTTTGTGACGAGTATTTTCCAGGAATCAAGAAAGTGGTTCTTGAAAGTGCGTTAGCACCACTGTTGACATGGAATGCGAGTGTTGGTTCCAAAAAAACCAAATTGGTAGATTACGAAAGTTATCAAGAGTTGGTTAACAATTTGGACAAAAGTCGTACCTCAAAAGGTACAATCAACATAGTACTTCCAAAAGCGCAAGTCAAAGAAAAACGGAATGCTCAGGTGTGTAATTTTCAGGTTCTCAGGTGTTCTCTTTAATCTCGGTGATCTGATTACCACTTTTCCCCGGTTGCTTCCATTCAGGCCATCGGGGCAGTGGCGTATATCAAAGGGACCGCTGGACCTACTTCAATCGAAGCTGAACTGGCCGCTTCCAAGGAGGAAACAGCTTCGGCCAAAGAGGAAACGAAGGTACGATTCCTCTTAAATCTCGTGTGACTTCCAGATAGCTTCGGTCTCTGATTCTTTTGGTCATGCCTTTGTAGAAGGTCAAAGCGGCCAAAGAGTTAGAACTCGAAGCGGCGACTATCTACAATGAACACCTCGAAAGGGCTCTGGGTGGCGATGGTGCCATCTTGTCAGCCCCATGGGACCCGAACTACTTATATCGGTTTTCCCAACGATGTGCCTTCATATGGGCCAAGTCGATTGTAAGTGCCCAGTTCATTACATGTTAGGTTC